TGTGTGTGTGTGTGTGTGTGTGTGTGTGTGTGTGTGTGTGTGTGTGTGTGTGTGTTCAGGTTGGCTGGTGGGTCGCTGAGTTCATGTTTGGCTGTGTTTAATGATCTCAGGTTACTCTTGTGTATCTTGGATGTATATTTGAAGAGTTCCAGTAAGAGCTTGTCTAGTTTGTGTGGTTTTATATGAGAATAGGTTCATCTGTGAGCTGTGGATGAAACACATAAAACACACACACAGCTGTGGCTCTGATTACCATGATAACAGCAGGAGTGCTAGCAGATGTGCACATTCACCATTCATGAGAGAGAGTGACGTCACATCTGTTCAGATTTAATGAAGGACTTGTCATCATGAAAACGTGTCTTGGGCCCTTTACACATTTCCAGGGTTCTCAGATATGTTTTGTCATTTAATTTTCTACAGTACTGAAAGAAACAAATCCACAATAACATTTCCATGAATTTCCAAAAGAGGAAATAAAAAACATATAGAGATTGATTTCAGTCATCAGATGAGAGAAAAACTTCAAATTTACAGTCATTCCCTCAACGGTTGCATTAGAAAACCCCTCACAGCAGCGTTTGTTTGTAATTGTGGAAACGTCATCAGTCTGTGAAAAACAGGTTTGATGTGAAAACAGCAAAGAATGTGAGAAACAAAATGTCTTTATGGATATTTAAAATATAAGATGTTTCTATGAGGCTTTAGGTGATTTCAAATATACATACAATCAAACATTTGGGGTCAGTAAGTTTTTTTTTTTTTTTTTAAAGAAATTAATATTTGTATTCATGAGGGATGCATTAAAGTGATCAAAAGTGACAGTAAAGACATTTATAATCTTACAAAAATTTATTTTTAAAATAAATGATGCTCATTTCAACTTTCTATTCAACTGTGAATCCGGAAAAATAAAAAAAAGAATCACAGTTTCCATAAAAATATGAAGCAGCACAACTGTGTTCAACATTGATAATAATCAGAAATGTTTCTTGAGCAGCAAATCAGCATATTAGAATGATTTCTGAAGATCATGTGAGTAATGATGCTGAAAATACAGCTTTGATCACAGGAATAAATTACATTTGAACAGATATTTACATAGAAAACAGATATTTAAAATGTTAATAATATTTCACAATTTGACAAATTTTACT